CAGCCACACCCCTATGGGGTGAGGGTCCCTGCTGGGTGCCTGGCCAGCTTGGGTGAGGGGCTGATGGTTGTTTGCACGCTGGCCACACCCCCTTCAGGGTTGGGGGTCCCTGCTGGAGTGCCTGGCCAGCCTGGGTGAGGGGCTGATGGCTGTTTTCAGGCTGGCCACACCCCCTTCAGGGTGGGGGGTCCCACTGGGGTGCCTGGCCAGTCTGGGTGAGGGGCTGAGGGCTGTTTGCAGGATGGCCATGGCCTCTGGTGACCCAAGCTCCCAGCCCCTCCTTTTTTTCTTTTTTTTTTTTCAGCGCCTCCTTGAATGGAGGGAAGAAGGTATCTGGGATTTATTTATCTTCTATAATTGAAACTTTGTAGCCTTGAGCAGAGGCCAGGGCTGGCCAGGGCTGGTGGGAAGCTTGGCTTCCTCCATCGCGAGGGGCAACCCAAGCCTCCTGCTCACTCTAGCTCCATGGCCGCCGCCATCTTAGTTGGGTTAATTTGCATACTCGTTCCTGATTGGCTAGTGGGCGTGGATTGTGGGTGTAGCAGAGTGACACCAATTTGCATGTTTCTCTTTTATTAGTGTAGATTAGTTTCAGGTATATTTCAGGTGTATAGCATAATGGTCAGATAATTATATTAAATCTTATTTGTAAGAAATAACCGCTAGTCCAATTACTGCCTGTTTACGTGATCTGTTTTGATCTTATTAGTGCAACCAAGTTACAACTCCTGCTTGTAGAATCAAGCCTTCAGCTTAAGTTTTTCCTTTTTACATTGGACAAGATTGTCTTAGTCGTACCTACTACTCTGATCTGCTTAGATGGTGATAAGTCATCAATGCCATCAGCTCTTTGTTGCCTTCCTACCCAACCAGCTCATTCATTAGAACTTTTGTTGTCTCACCTGGACAGAGCAAATGGTGCCATCAGCAATTGTGTGTGTGTATCTTTCCCAATCCAAGCTATATTAGGAGAGTGATTGATTTTATTCTTCATTGACTGTTTTTTCTTCTTTGTCTCATGTAAATTGTTTGGCATTTTGTTTTGTAAAAATAAATTTTAAGTTTGTTTATTAGATAGGCAAGGCTTTTTTAAAAAAATAAATGAATAAGTACATTTTCTCTGTGCAACAAAGATGATCATATTTATTGTGAAGACCAATTAATTTTAATTCACTTGGTTGTGACTTTTTATTTTTTATTTTTAAAGTATATTTTATTGATTTTTTACAGAGAGGAGGGGAGAGGGATAGAGAATTAGAAACATCGATGAGAGAGAAATATCGACCAGCTGCCTCCTGCACACCCCCTACTGGGGATGTGCCCGCAACCAAGGTACATGTCCTTGACCAGAATCGAACCTGGGACCCTTCAGTCCGCAGGACAGTGCTCTATCCACTGAGCCAAACTTGTTAGGGCGGTTGTGACTTTTTAAAAGAGATTTGATATCTTTATATAAGATTTTTGATAAACTTACTTGTGCTTTCTCAATCCCTTTAGAATTGGTCTGCAAGGTGATGTGACTGATCCAAGGACGAATAGCTTCTTATATATTCTAGATATTCTCCCCAGGTAAAAACCTTAGATTCCTGTACAAGCTTACCTTAAATTTAAAACCGTGGATCTGGCAGAATGTGATGGACATTTTATAGAGATGAGCAGTTTATACATGCTGCCTGCAGATACTGTGCATGTCATTTATCTTCTTCTGCCATGAATAATAAGAGAACTGCAAATGTTTGCTGATTCCACAGTTGCCACTACAGTGAGTGACAGGGAATTACAGCCTAATAGCTAAATTCTGTTGCCTCTGCTCATAGTATTAATGCAGATGAAGCGTCTGTTAGCGAATGCTGTTGTCCATGGCCTGGAAGCCTGTGCTAGCCCTGGTAAATGGCAGCCTTTGAGTTGCATCAGAGGCTCTGTGTGAACCCATGTTTCGAGATAAACTCAATGGAAATTAACATTTCAAATGTTAACTTTATCAGGTATGCCATGATTATGGGGAAAATGAATAAAATATGAGTTATCTTCATCCCTTATAAAATTCTTTTATAAAAAATGAGAGTTTAGAAAATTGCTTACCTCATACTTCCCACAAATAAGGAATTTCTTCATTTTGTTCTTCTTAACAATGAGATTTTTGGAATTCTATTGGTTTTGTTTTTGTATTGTTTTTAGGTTACAAACATTACCGAAGTATATTCTTTTAGAAAATGTTAAAGGTTTTGAAGTATCTTCTGCAAGGTAAAGCATGTATTTGTCTTGTGTTCATCTTAGCTGTTGTGAAATAAAGATCTTAAAAATAAACATGTACATTCTGACATTTTATATGTTATATATTTTATTCATTAATATTGATTTTGAAAAGCATCACAAAGTTAAGTTAAATTGATTCTCTCCCATTCTGATGTTTGAAATTTTCTAGAATGAGCAATTATTTTAATAAGAATGATATTTCTCAGTTTTAGCTGCTTATATTGGTGCTTAGTTCTTTAGAAGTAGAAATGTTTTCAGTAAGAATTGGCCCTTAAGATCCATTTATGTTGTCATAAATGGCAGTATTTTATCTTTTCTTATGGTTGAGTAGTGTTACATTATGTATGTGTACCATATCTTCTTTATCCAATCATCTGTTGAAGAATCTTTAGAATATCACGTTAAGTAAAGTAAGTCAGACATAAAAAGTTAAGAACCATATGATTTCACTCATATGGGGGATATAAAACTGAAAGCAACAATGAACAAATAAGAAAAACAGGCAAATAAGAACTCACAGACACGGACAACAGTATGGTTGGTGGTTACCAGAGGGAAGGGAGGTGTGGGGGAGTAATAAAGGGTAAAGGGGCCAAATATATGGTGACAGAAGGAGACTTGACTTTAGGTGATGGGCACACAATGCAACATACGGATCACGTATCATAGAATTGTATACTTGAAACCTATATAATTTTATTAACTCATGTCACCGCAATAAATTTAATTAAAAAAAAAAAGAATTGGTCCGGTGGACAGGCTTTTTCAGTCATACAGTAAGACAGAAAAAGCCATATGTTGGGGCCCTTTCAGATGGTAGCCCAGCTGGAGAGAAAGCATGCACACTTTTTATGTAGCTGCTGTCTTTAGCAGTGTTCTCCCATCTGACTTACTAGATAGTTCCATTTCCCATAGCAAATTTAGCATCAGTAGATTGGCAATTCTATCTCTCACCAGTTTGGATAAATTATCTGAGAGCTGTATTTATTTAAAGTAGAAATTATCATTGTCTTCTTTTGAGAAATGTAATTTCTCAAGTACTGCACTTAATGAAGACCTTGGGTCATTCTCCTTCTAACAACTTGAGTGGAGGAACAGTTTTCAGTTAAAATGAAATTTTATGTATAATATTTTATATAAGAACCTAATTCCCAATTTTAAGGTGAAAGCGTTTCTTTTCTATTTTCCTTTATTTTTGTCTTTTCAGAGACCTGTTAATAAAAACAATAGAAAATTGCGGCTTTCAGTACCAAGAATTTCTATTATCTCCAACCTCTGTAGGTACCGCAATTATAAACTCTTATACATTTTCTCAAAGGGAATTTGAATCAGTAAGAACAGTGGTTGGCAAACTGCAGCTCGCGAGCCACATGCGGCTCTTTGGACCCTTGAGTGTGGCTCTTCCACAAAATACCATGTGCGGGCGAGCACGTACAGTGGGATTGAAACTTCGTGGCCCATGCACAGAAGTTGGTATTTTGTGGAAGAGCCACACTCTAGGGGCCAAAGAGCCGCATGTGGCTCGCGAGCCGCAGTTTGCTGACCACTGAATAGATCTATTTGGATAATATTATAGGTAAATCTTAAAATTACTTCAGACATGGTTTTATTTTCTAAAGAATATAGTGCAGGCTTATAGATTCAATTGTACTTATTTTATGAAAAATATATAATTTGAGGCTCATAGAGAATATATTTTTCTTTCTATACAGAAAAAATAAGTGTGTTTTGAAATTATGTGCCATATGGTATTTCCAAAATGGGTGTGCTATAGTTTAGTAATGTTTCAGAATAATCCAAAATAGAAAAAAAATGAACATATCATAATATTTTAATTCCTTTTATTGGGACATTTCGTTAATAGGCAAACATTGCTTCTATTTCATGGGTAAGGAACTTATAAGAATTTGATACATCTTTGATATTACAATTATCATTGTCTATTTTTATTTTGTCTTTTTGTTTGTTAGCCTATTATCATCTTTTTCTGTTTTACAGTTCTTTGCCCTGAAATGAAAAGAAAACCCATTTCAAAAATTAGATGTCCATGTTTTTGTTTTCATTTTCTTGTTGTTCTTATTGAACTTAAGTGTATCCTCAGATTACAAAGCAAGTACTTTAAACAATTCTTACCATTCACAATGACTTCTCTTTGGACCAGGGTTTATAGTCAACTACGTTATAGTCAACCCAAATAGCAAGGGGGAAAGAATAGATGCTGTAGATAGTAAGGGGATTGTAACCTCTATCCATCTTACTCCTTTCAGTCTGTTCATTTATTCAATAAATCTTTATTGAATGAACACTTACTTTGCACGTGGAACTGTTCTTCATGGACTGTATAAGCTAATATTACACTTTAAACCTAAAAAGAAATTAACACCAATAAAAAAATTAGATGTCCCACTGTGAAAATTGGCAATGTATCTGATCTCTAATTTTAATATTTATTGCCTTTTAACTTTAAAATGTAGTGAATCCTTTTTTTTAATAAAATGAGGTAATAAATACCCAAGAATAACTATATTTTATAGTTACTATATTATCAATAATGAATGTAAAAATGTCTATATAACTTCTTACCTGGAAAATATAAAATTAAAGTGACTCATAGCCATATGATTTATCAGATTCAATCTTTATTTAATTCAAAATAAAGGTACAAAGCAACAGTTTAAAGGGTTTAAGGGTTTGTGCAAAGTAGTCTTCCACAACTCAGTAACAGAATTTTTTATGGCACAGGCTAAATGTATACCTGTATGAGGCTCTTTACTAGATGCTAACAGTTGACACAGATCTCTTTTATTTCCAGCTTGGCATTCCAAATTCAAGACTACGGTATTTCCTTATTGCAAAGCTTCAGTCAGAGCCATTACCTTTTCAAGCCCCTGGTCAGGTATTGTTATGATTGTTGTTATCATCTATATATATATATATATATATATATATATATATATATATGTAGTAAATATATTGAATCTGCTCATTTATTTCAAGAATTACGTTGTAGAGGTTTCTATGTATCTTACTGAGTCTGTAATATAGACCATGCATAGGTCTATCCCCTGGGCCTAGCCTGTGGTCGGCAAACTGCGGCTCGTGAGCCACATGCGGCTCTTTGGCCCCTTGAGTGTGGCTCTTCCTAAGCCTTAGGAGTACCCTAATTAAGTTAATAACAATGTACCTACCTATATAGTTTAAGTTTAAAAAATTTGGCTCTCAAAAGAAATTTCAGTCATTGTACTGTTGATATTTGGCTCTGTTGACTAATGAGTTTGCCGACCACATCTAGGCCTTTTTTTCTCCTGGTGCCATATTTATTGCCTTAAACCAGTGGTTCTCAACCTTCCTAATGCTGCGACCCTTTAATACAGTTCCTCATGTTGTGGTGACCCCCAACCATAAAATTATTTTTGTTGCTACTTCATAACTGTAATTTTGCTACTGTTATGAATCATAATGTAAATATCTGATATGCAGGATGTATTTTCATTGTTCGCAACTCACAGGTTGAGAACCGCTGTGGCTTAAACAAAACAAAAATTTTCTTTGATCATTAGAAAAAAATGAGTTAAAAGTTTAAAAAATTACCATTAGTGCAGTTACCCTCTTTTTCTCTCAACAAAATCCTTTGGTTCCGTTTTCGGTGAAGTCAATGCTCTTTAGCTTTAATTGATTAAATGTAGTAATGAGTAGTACAAACTACAATAAGATGCTCAGTTGCTATATATAGTCTATCTAATTGTGCAAGTAGTTAAACATCCTTCTCTCAGCAATTGGTCTGAGTTTCAGTGGTTCAGTGAAGCTCTCCGTAACTATCACAGGAGAGAACCTAAAAGTCATGTCCTACAGGGGGTCAATAGTGTCATTTTAATCCCCTGCAATACAGTACCAATACATCTCCCTTCCCATAGTGGGCAATTCCAAAAAGAATATACAAGCATTTTAACAAAGACTTCATTAAAAATTCCTGGAACTTTTTTTTTTTTTTTTACACAAAATAGGACATTATACATGGTTACATGTTTTGCAGGAACAAGTTTTTCCTATGGGACTCAGGAGTAGAAATAACCTTTCAGAGTGAAAAGTGCTTTTCTTTTTTTAATTACTAGTTTTCCTTTAGATCTTGGGTATGTTCCAGTTTTTCTTCTTTGATGAAGGGGATGGCAAACTTGAATCCGAAGTGCATTTTCTAGAAATGTTAATGTTGCTTCTAAACTTTTCTCACAGATATGATGCTCTACATTTAGTCAACATATTTCCTGTTACTTTGTTGAATATTTTTATTAATAAATACACAAAGCAGCAACTCCATGAAATAAATAATCTGCAGTCAGATGATACTATAGCTATATGAAGAATAACTTGTAATAACTCGTATAAGCACAAATAAACCACACTTTTTATCTTTCAAATGACAACTTTATAAAGGCTAAAATAATTTTTGCATAATGTTGACTGGACATTATTAATTTATTTTTAATAAAGCTTTGGACAATATGTATATTTTTGTTTAATGCCAGGTACTGATGGAGTTTCCCAAAATGGAATCTGAACATCCTCAACAACATGCAATAGATGCAGTCAATAAAATTGAAGGAAAGAAAATTGAACCAAATATTTGCTTTGATAGCAGCAGACAGTGTTCAGGAAAAGAAGCCATTCTTTTTAAGCTTGAAACTGCAGAAGAAATTGAGCGGAAACATCAACAGGACAGTGACCTCTCTGTACAAATGCTAAAAGATTTTCTTGAAGATGATATTGACATGAATCAGTACTTTTTACCACCAAAGTCGTTGCTGCGATATGCTCTTTTGTTAGACATTGTTAAGCCCACTTGCAGAAGATCCATGTGCTTTACAAAAGGGTAGGTTTTAAAGAGAGACTATTCATGGTATATCCAAAATAACCAGGTTTTTTTTTTTTATACCTGTTGTCTCTTTTAGTTCTTCTCAAAACAAGGAGCATTTTATAAAATGTTTCTGCTAGAATGTTTTTTTTTCACCCTTAATTGCCTGCTTTCATGTTCCAGTAGAATACATGAGTGAAAAGTCCTTCTGGCAGAACATTATATACACAACCCATAAAAGTGCTCATAAAAGACGATGCCATTTGTTTGGTGACTTCCATGGGAGCGTAAAACATGGTTTCTATACAGGGTAAATTACTAATTTTTTAGCACCTTTCATTTTATGCCACATCAGACCTCAAAAGTTTATGTCTTCTCTCATGATCAATATATAAGAAGAAATTAAATTTTAGTATCAAAATACAAAATTGAATCATCTGGCTCATGTTAGAGTACATTTTAAATTTTATTCCGTTTTTTAAATAAGAATAAATTCTCCTAGTTCAAATTACAAAAGGCACTAAGATTTTAAGACTCCCTTCTACTCTGTCTTGGCCATTCCGTTTTCCTCACTACATGTAACCAGTGATTTCAATTTACTGTCTCATCTTCCAGAGGTATTATGTGTGAAGGTGCATTTAAATACACATCTATATTTTGCCCCCTCCTTTAAGAAGTGGTAACATATTATATCTATTTTTATGTATGTGCCCTTTTCTTTGCACAATATAAATTGGGTATTATTGCATATAAGTACATAAAGAACTTTTCTATTCTCGTGGTATGGGTATAGCATCATTTCTTTTACTGGTTACCTTTGGGTTATTTCTTGAATGTTAATATGTTTTTCACAAATATTTTAAAACCTAGAAAGAAGGGAAAATTTAGGTCTTTCCAGAAAATGTGAAAGATCCCTGATTCAGCTTTGTTAATTCCATTCAACTTCATTTGATACATAGTCTTCTCTTTTTACTTACTAGCTACCTATCTTGCACAAGACACTATGTTCATGATATAATCATACCAGATTCATTCTGATTTTATCATACTTTGCCCCTGTACTTCCGGGAGAACAGGTTTATTGCTTTTCATTACCTTAAAAGACTTCACTCAGCTGTTGTCTTTTTCCAAGTCTAATAGTTTCTTTTTAGGATTCTAATAAAACAAGACATCAATTTTATAATAAAAAACAGCCTTGCATTATTTTGTAGCTATAAAGATGGTATAAAAGAAGCCTTACTGTAAAAGTCTATTTTAATGTGGATAATACAAATATACATATATAATATGTGAGAAAACAATTTGATAACAATTTTTCCCTGCCGTGACTTTCTTTAATTTATACTTTAAATTGACCTATTAGGAAAAATAATAATGATAATATGTTGGACAACCAGCTTGGCAATGATCTTAGGGGAAGAAATATTACTAATACCTTGCAGTATTCTCATTGTTGTATGGAAAGAGGAAAAATGTACTGTGTTACAGTCAGAGGTAGATGCATATTGAGTGGGCCCATGTTTGTCATGATACTGGAGAGTGGGACCTTGTGTTCATGAGAAGAAATGATGGTCTGGCATTATAAAAAAAGAGCAGCAATTTATTTTTATCTGCCTAACATTTGGTTTAAAGTAGAAGGGATATAAATATGGAATAGTTTTTAGATATAAAATTGGAACAAGTTCATACTTACAAGTGATGAACATTTTAAAAATGACAATACAAAGAAATGGCAATTGATAATACATAATTCAAAATAGTATTTACACAACTCAAAAAACTTCCAAATTTAGTGTCTGAGAAGCTTAAATAAAATGACCTTATACCCCTCACCCAGTTATTATTAAATCATTAAGCCTATTTATGTGTTGATATCCAGAATATTACAGAAGGATAGAATTATGTAGATTGATTAATTTATTCAGGAAATATTTAAGAAATTTTGCATTGACAAATACATTAGATAATATTTGTGTTAATTTTTCAGTTATGGGAGGTACATAGAAGGGACAGGATCTGTGTTGCAGACTGCAGAGGATGTGCAGGTACTATGCATGCTTTAGAACTTAATTATTTGAAAATTATTTTAAATAAAATTATTTTTAATACTTAAAATTTGAGAATGTCAAAATAATTTTACATGTTCTATTGGAAATGGATATATATTATTCATATTTATATTCACATATAGTAATTCTTTACTATAGAAAATTTTCTTGCTGCATAAGTTTATATAAAAAGAATATTTTATGTTTTTATTCTTGCCTTCTGTATTTTTTATTCCATAAAGAGTAAGTTGACATGCAGTGTGCAACAGTTAATTTCTCTAAAATTATGTACAAATATCTTAAAATTGGGGACTTCTTTTGGAGCACATACTATGACTTTTAAGGAGAGAAGTCTATGTTTTAGCACAGCATTTTATGAATATTTCAATTATAAACTATAGTATCATGGTTGAATATAAGCTTGATATTTTGCAAGTTTTATACTTTTGGATAAGTTTGAAATGAAATCACATTATCTTCTTTTATAATGATTTAAACTCACTATTAATAAGATCTGCCCATTTAACATCCTATCAGAGGCAACTGAATGTCTGTATTTGAGAAATCATATTTATTAAATATATTTTATTATTTTAAAGAAAATGTTATGAAATTGGTAATAAACAGTAAACATTTTAATGATGTATCTGTTAAATATTGTAAAATTGACCTCATTGATCAAGTTTTTTTTTTATATTTCCCTCTACTTTTTGTTATATTATCTTTTATTATTTATATTCTTATTTAATTTTTGAGGAATCAGAAATGACAGATACATTGCAAGTATCCTGATCTGTTGAACATTAAGGTTTTGTCCATTTTCAAAGTTTATATTGCCATCGATGAGCCAATTATGTAGTTTATTGAAGAGACATTTTACCCTGGGTTGTCATGTGTTACAGCAGACATTCCATCGTTTTTAAGCTGTCTCACAAAAGGTATCTTATCTTAACAACTCTAATTGCCGTCTACTTCATCAGTTACCTTGGGGCTTTTCTTACAGATTGAGGATATCTACAAATCTCTTACCAATTTGTCACAAGAAGAAAAGATAACAAAATTGTTAATGCTTAAACTTCGATATTTCACTCCTAAAGAAATCGCAAATCTTCTTGGATTTCCTCCAGAGTTTGGTATGTGGGGTACACGCAGACCTCAGCTTTTGTTTATTAAAGATCCCAAAATGCATTAGGGAATCATGTGTATTTTATGAAGAAATCTTTGCTTAGACAGATGGATGTAAGAAACCTCATTTCTTTCCTGATTGCGCAATTATTGACATTTTTCTTTCCTCACCTTTCACATTCATTTATACCTGCCTCAGACCAGTCCCTTCAAACTTGTGTCCCTCCTCCTTCACTCCAGTTATGGTCCTGAGTGATTTTCAGGGACAAGGGGCCAAGTCAGCAATTTCCCGCCTCCTTCATGGATGGATGTTGATAGTATCTTTCTCCAGCTTATTTTCTTTCTCCCAGAGGTCCTGTTTTAATAATAACCCAACATTAGATTGTGTGAAAAAATGCCTAGAATTGTCTTTTTTATGAAGAAATTAAAAGGAGGTTGAGGAACTTATTATTTTTGTGTGAGGGGTTTATTCTCCTCCAAGATGCATTCTTATCACTCATGCGTTTTGTCCTTTCCTATAAAGTTTAAGTGGAGAAAAGAGAAGGCTGAGAAGCAGTCTAGGAAGGAGCTGTCTTAGTGGAAAGAAAGGGTGACTCAGGACACAGGTGCCAGAACCTATGAAAATGAGGGGATCTGACGCAGGGAATCTCAGGAACAAAACTAATACAGATGCAACTGTAGAGGAAGACAAAGTCCTAACTCTTTTCCCAGTCCAGGAATTCCAGGGGCTGTTGCTATTAAGAGATGGGGACACATTGCCTTTCCTTCTTAGAGCTGCCCTGTCTCTTCCTGGTCCCTTTTCCTGGGCACCTGTGCTCTCCCCTGTGTGGATGCCATGTCTTAGGCTGGGGTGGCTGTGCTCCCAGTACCTGGCTCACGAGAAGGGGAAAGACAGACCTCCTTAACGTGCTTCCAGGGCTACACCAGGAGGGCATGTGTTTTTGATAACTCTGAAGTTTGAAGGCAGAAAAGCCAAATTGCTCAATCCAATGCTATTGTATGAATAATGCAGTACTGTTCTTGAAGCACATAATGGGCTAAATAGATCATGTTTTAAATTCTAAATAATGGATTTACAGATGAAGTTTTAGAGCACATCCTTTTGTGCAGATAACAAACTGCTAATACAATTTGTCTGCCCTCTTGGTAATTGATTCTCTGAGCATAGTCACAGCAACCAGGTTTGTTTTGTAGTCTCCCTTTTTCTTGGTGATCTCATTCAGTCACAAATATCCTGGGGAGTGTTATTTAAGAAAGACATAGACTTTTTTGTCTAGTTTATGTCACAAAATGAGTGAGAACATCATAAAACAAACTAAGAGCTGAGAGTTAAACTCAAGAATTTAATTCCAAGTCTGCTCTCCTTGTTATTATTTTTTCTTTTTTACAATGAACAATCAAAGGTATTTTCAACAGTACTAAAGGGAGAAAAGAGATTTACTATGTAATAACAAATAATTACTAAGTTTTATTTCAGTTCTTTTTCAAATAGTACTCATCAGTTTCATAATATTGAAACTAAGCATGTACTCCAGAGTCAGACTGACTGAGTCTGAATGCTAGGTCTACCTAACCACTCTCTGCCTTAGTTTACACATCTGTAAAATGGTAATAATTGCAGCACCAAATTCAATGGGTTATTGTGACAACTAAGTATATGTAAAATGTTTACACCCTGACACATAATATAAAATTTAAGTGTCAGCCTTTATTTTATAAATCATAAACATTTGTTTGTTTTTATAGCCTTTACTTTGTAAAGATTTTTTCTCATTATTTAAAAATTTTAGATGGATAAAATTAGAGTTTTTTATAGCTCTCTGAAAATATATGTATAGTACACACAAAAAAGCCTTTTCCATTGGTTAACCGTTTTTCAAATATGTGATCTGTTTGTATGGTCAGACTTGCCCTGATGCCCTCACTGAGCAGCACTCTGACAGAACTGTCCTTCCCATGCGCTTTTGACATTGACTCCAGTCCAAAATGGGCACTGTGTGAGCTGCCCGTCCACTGGCAATGACGGATGTTCATTGACTTTTCCATACACTTGTCCTGGTTCCCTTTGTGACTGGTGGCATGCATTTGTGAGACAGCAGGCTTTGGAAGAGAGGAACACTCATCTATACTTACTAAAGGAAAGCTGCTAACTTGACCTCATTAATTCTGTTCTTTTTTTTGTCTATGAGGATTATTATTATTTTTAATGTATCTAAGTTTTTTTAAGAGACATCTTTTAAAAAATTATGTAATCTTTCCATAAGCTAGCTTAGATTTTAATATCTATATTTAGATACAAAATATACAGACATATAAAATTTTTACAAATCTGACTTGTTCTCAAATTTATATTGCAAAAGATCATCTTTACAATATTTTAAAAGTCTGTTTGTAGGTATATTTGTACCTCTGGATACTTTGAACTTACTAATTTTTCAGATGACTAATATGCTTGCCTAAGACATACTATCTTTATAATAGCAATTTTGTTGTTATGCTCAATTGCAAATATAGTTTTACTATGGCAATCACTGTTATTTTATTGTAGTAAATATAATGTCAAGTGTTGATGAAGCAACTTTACCCTAATCAGCTCTACCTTTTGGTTCTCACAAGTGTATGAAATGTTGCTATTCTTTTTTTTTTTTAAGTATTTTCTATTGGTTTTTTGTATAATTTTAAAAAAATTTATCTTTATTGTTGAAAGTATTAGAGATGTCCCCTTTGTTTTCTTTTTTTTTTTTTCTGTTTCCCATGGACCCACTCCACTCCACACTGGCACCTCCCAGGCCTTCACCATGGGCTATGCATATATGCATATACATTCTCTGGTTAATCTCTAACCTCTACTCCCCACCCTGCCTTCCTTCATTTTATTACCTACTTGCTTTTCTTTTATATAATTGCCATGCCAAAGGATACTGAATGTGAATTTCTAACGTTGTAACTAACATGCTCTGTACTCCGAGGCATATATCATCTTTTATGCTGATACTCACAAGGCTTTGTTCCAGCAAATCTAGTATCTTGTGGGCCATTTTGTTTTAAAAAAGAATGTAGCAAATAGAAGTTCACTGTGAGAAAGTTAATTTGTGGAAGCACAATACTAAAAAAAAACAGCTGTGAGGAACTTGTATCCAAAATATATATAAAGAACTCTTACAACTCAACTATAAAAAGAAAATTAATCAAATTTTAAAATGGGCAAAGGATTTGAATAGACATTTCTCTGAAGAAGATAGACAAATGGCCAATAAGCACATGAAAAGATGTTCAACATCATTAGTTATGAGGGAAATGTAAATCAAAACTACAGTAGATACCATTTCACAAAAAAAGCCAATAACAGTGCTGAAAAAGATGTGGAGAAAGCAGATCACGTGTATATTGCTGATGGGAATATCAAATGACACAGCTGCTTTGGAAAAACAGTCTGACAGTTTCTCAGATGTTACACGTAGAGTTTTTGTTTGACCCAACAATTTATCCCTGCAGGTGTCCCAGAGAATGAAAAATAAATGTCCATGCAAAAACGTATACTTAATGTTCATAACAGGTTTATTCATAATAATTAAAAAGTAGAAAAAACCCCCAAACTTCTATCAATGAATGAATGGATAAATAAAATGTAGTATATCCATACAATAGAATATAGTAGGCTATAGAAGGGAAATGAAGTATTGTTACATTCTGGAACATAAATGAACCTTGAAAACATGCTCAGTGAAAGAAGCCAGACACAAAAGCAGCATATTGTATGGTTCCTTTTATATGAAACTAGAAGCCCGTGCGGCCTGTGCCTTCTCGCAGTCTGGGACCCCTCGCTCCTTACCGCCCGCCTGCTTGCTGCTCCTTACTGCTTGGCTTGCTGCTCCTTAGTGCTGCCGCTGAGGTGAGAGAGGCTCCTGCCACCGCTGTTGCGCTCGCCAGCCATGAGCCCACCTTCTGGCTGATCAGCGCTCCCCCTCTGGGAGCGCACTGACCACCAGGGGCAGCTTCTGCGTTGAGCGTCTGCCCCACTGGTGGTCAGTGTGCATCATAGCGACCAGTCATTCTGGTCGTTCCGCTGTAACGGTTGCTTAGGCTTTTATTATATAGATGTTCAGAACTGGCAAATCCACAGAAACAGAATGTAGATTACTGGTTGAGGGGCAGGGAGGGAAAATAGTAAGTGACCACTAATGGGTACTAGCTTTTTAAAAAATTGAGGTGTAATTGACATATAATATTATGTCAGTTTCAGGTGTACAACAGTGATTGGATATTTGTATACATTGTGAAATGGTCAGCACAATTAGTTAACAATAAGTCTAGTTAACATCTTTCACCATACATAGTTACAATTTTTTTGTGTGTGATGATGACTTTTAAGATCTACCCTCTTAGCAGCTTTCAAATATGGAATACAGTATTATTAACTACTAAAGGCCTGGTGCACGAAATTCATGCACGAGGGTTGGGGGGGTTCCCTCAGCCCAGCCTGCACCCTCTCCAATCTGGGACCTCGGGGGATGTCCGACTGCTGATTTAGGCCTGATCCCGGACATCCCTCTCACAATCCTGGACGCTGGCTCCTAATTGCTCACCTGCCTGCCTGCCTGGTTGCCCCTAACT